TTCGCAAAAAGGAATTTTGTTTGGACTTTCAGACATCGCGCTTGTTGTTACAGCAACCTTAGCCTCAAAAGAATGAAGGTCAGTTCAGACCTTCATGTGATTCACGGATTCATGGATTCACGGATTGATACACAGGATCGAGGCTTTTGCCCAAGTTTCCCGGGTCGGTTTTGTTCTCGTTGGTCAGTGGCTGTCGTTCACCTGAAGGGCACAAGTGAAAAAAGGGTGTATCACTGTTCTTTATGTTCTCAGCGCCGGGCAGTATGCTTGCCAGTGCGAGGATCCGCATAAATATATGTCTAACAGTGCTTTAAACTGGGTTCTAGAAGGAGCGCGGACAACTGTCGGAGGAAGGCCATTCCACGCAGCTACTAACCGAAATGAGAAAAAGTTTTGTCTAATGATTGCGTGCGCTCCGATCTTGAAGATTTTCTTACTATGCCCCCGCCGGGTGTTTGCTGGTCTCTAATGGAAAATCTTTGAGTGCCAGTCTCCCCACTAGTGTGAATCCTTGTATTTCATCTGCCTATTCGGTATCCTCTTCCCGCACTATTTCTGGGACAGCGCCATCCTTTCTGAATTTGGATCGCTACGACAGCGCGGTATTCCCTTTGTAGTGTGCATATTATGGAATCACCGAGGGACAGTGATTCTCCCGTAGGCGGGTGTTCACCACAATTTCTGTTGATGAAAAGCAGAAACGAAGCTCATGAGCCAAAGCGCAGTAAGCACGGTTGTACATCATCACTACCTACATACAAATCAATCACCTGGCAAACACCGCGCACTACACCTGTAAAGACACAGGACAGCACGATTCAGCCACCAGAAAGTGACAGGTTCCTTAACACAAGCTGTACTTGCTTCTGACGTTGGGTCTTATTCGTACATCTTATCTAGAGTTTAAATGTCTTGTTGTTCCCAACTCAAAAATCTTCAAGCTCTGACTTGTAGTAGCCAAAAAACTTGACATAGTTAGTGGAAGGTGCCCCAGCCTGGGCCAAGGCCCAATTTCTGCTATTCATCTCTGAGCCGAGCTACTTTGCTGGATGAATTGTCAGCATGATGTCATATGCAGACCTATTGGTAAATCGCAAGAAAGAGCGAAGTACTGGGTAATGTGTTGACGATGGACATAATCGGGTTTTTCTTGTGAATACATATACCAAACGAAGAGCAAAAGACCGGAAATAATTACTCCATGCGTTTAACGTTTTGGGGTAATTTGGAAGATACATCTGTGTGTATGTTAGCCGAAATTTACGGAGGGTTCGCCGATACTTTTGAATGCCTGGAAATTTGGTGATCTTCACATGGCACGTGAGTTCCAAAACATGGGAACAGCCAATAATAGCATGGATACGTACGCTGGAGTGCACGCGGGCGAAGAAATTTTACACTGAACTTCAGACTAAGGCGAGGAATACGGTTCTGCTGGGTGAGCATTTCACCTCGTATATTTAATTTCAAAGCCCACTGGTTTGCTGGAACTATATGCAGCAATATCCGGCAGTTTATAATATTTTTAGCTGCTATCCAAAATATTCCAGTAATTTAAGTTCGGCAAATCGTTCGGTATTATAGCGTATACACTTAAATTCTTTTGGTACTAAGTCAATCCCGAACAGTGTGTGGTTTTCTCCAATTTGTGGCGCCAAGCTTTTGTTCATCGCGACTTGTTAGTCCAGCTCCTCTGCGATGGATCTCATGTTGATGAAAAGGTGTGCCCTTGAATGCCCCGACTATCATCGTGCCAGATAGATAGATAGATAGATAGATAGATAGATAGATAGATAGATAGATAGATAGATAGATAGATAGATAGATAGATAGATAGATAGATAGATAGATAGATAGATAGATAGATAGATAGATAGATAGATAGATAGATAGATAGATAGATAGATAGATAGATAGATAGATAGATAGATAGATAGAAATCATGGCCAGATAAGCCCCATATTTCAAAGGAGTTTTGCGCTTCGCTCAATGGCATATAAGCAGGCATTTGCCCTCCACCGTTGAGTGTTTGTATAAAAAATTAAAGGAAGCTCTTTCATTGGTGTGTACGCTGAATTCAACCGATGATCGTGCGGTGGGTCTCGGAGTATGGCACTTTGGTTTTATGGCTGAAAACAGATCACGCATAATCACCTCATTTACAGAGCCCTGATTATATTAAATGGCATCTTGTTTGTCATTGTCACAGGTAAATTTTTTCCCTTAGTCTAGCCAGTTGACCTAAGGGAGCCTTTTTATGAAGCGAATGGTGACTGTAGTATGTGGTAGGTTTGGTCTGGAAGGGAAGGGTAGTGGACCGTCTGCTACCTGGAGGAAGAAAGTCGTTTCGATCGGCCACTTGGTGATAAGGGCTGATTAGCTGATTTTATCGTTTTGGTTCCAAGCAATGAGCTCATGTCGTTAC